GTGTTCAAGTGCATTTGCTGGATTCAAAATGCCAGCGTCTTTGAAACGGCGCATTAGAGGGAACACGGCGAATCTGAGCGTCTCAGATCCTCGGCCCAGGCTCCTGGCAGACGGGCGGGACAGAGCGGTTTTCTACTTCCCTGATGATTCATGTGGATAGATGTTTGGGTGTTTAGATTTTCAAATGTTCTTCTCAACCAAAACTGAAACTTAGAGATGCGATCAGCCTGGAATTTTTTTGCACCTGCAAAAACAGTCGTGTTTCTAAAATCAACTGTTTTTGCTGCAGGGCCTGCTGCACATGACAGCGGGGTTTGTCCAGTCATGTGTGCAGGAAAGGGGCTGCCCGGTGGCGGTGGCACAGCCCAGCACCGTCCACCCTGCAGGGCCAGCAGCCTCTGCTCGAACACGCTTACAAAGCAGATACAGAGAAGCCGACAGGCCCTCCAGAGGGCAGAGGGCTGGGAGGAACGGGAGCTCGCAGGTCGCTTCTCCGCTTAAGAAACCGGCCGAAGGGCTCCAGAACATGGTCTTTGCAGACTGTGTGAACTGAAAGGCCCCACGTCTTGGTCCTTCCACAGCATGATGCAAGTTCTTGGATAGACTTAACATTTTTGCTAAAACCAGCTATTAGGCCCAGCCACTTCCTTCCTCCTGGGCACTATTTTCAGTAGCAGAGACAGGAGCTCCTGCACCTGTTGTCACTGTGGCCACAGAAGGAAACCTCTACAAAGCCCCCCTTTGCCTGCACAGCAGGGCCAGCGATGCCCAAGCTGAGGCACGGGGTTGTCTCAGTGTCCAGAGGGCTGGCTGGGGCCCAGAGGCCAGGCAGCCTCAGGAGGGAACATCTCACCCACCATCTTCTCATGTCTCCTGACCGGAATTTGTGCCCAGTCTGGGGGTCTCCTCTCCAGGTCCTCGGCTTATTGTGTTCCTAAGGGGTGCAGCCAAGGGTCCCAGCCCTGTCCTTTTGGTGAGATGATCCCATGGGAGTTGGAGGCCTTGGGGTGACTTCCTCTTATGTAGTCAACCTCAGTCCACATGTTGGGAAGTCAGTGTGGCTGAGACACAGCCCTGAGAAGCATACAGTCCTGTGGACTGTGACACCCTGGGGGAGGGGTCCACTGCAGCCTAGGAACAGATGGGGAGCTGGCTCCCTGCTCCCTGGCTGGTCAGATTCAGGTCCCACCAGTTCTGACCATCCAGGCCCTGGCTCTGCCACAGGATGGAATTTCAGGATGAAGCAGCTGAACACCTCCATTCTCCTTCCAAATCAAAACTGGTACCGAGACACTGGATAGCTGGCACGGCATGCCAGGGACCCATAGTGGCTACCTGCTGGCAGGCCTCTTCCCAGCATGCCTTTTGTCCTTCTTCAGGAGAAATTTGGCAGAATGGTGGGGTTCTTACTTTCACCTTTTGTCTGGGTCTGTTTGTCCGTAGCTAGAATAACAGGGGGCTTTGAAAACCTAATGAATGCAACATTCAAAGAAGGGCCTCAGGCAAATGGAATGTCTAATGTCCCGTGTCTCTGGCTCCAAGCAGAGGCCCTTTGGGGCTTAACATCTTTTTCATTCACTTGCAAAATACTCCCCAAAACTCAGAAGTCCTGAAGCCAAATCACAAATCTTCCTGTTCCTAACATTTTCATCTCAAAGCAGTTACTTGATCATTTAGTATACTTTAGATTCAGGGGGAAGAAAAGATAATATTTCAGGTTTTAATTTCCAACGGATTTGTGCTGCGTATATTTCTTATCCGTGACTATTTCTTCTCTAAAAATACACTTAAATAGACTGAACACCTCCTTTGGCACATACTCCACCAGAACATGGAAACTATGCTCTTATTCAGGCTCGCAAAGGGTGATCTGGAAGGACGTGCTGGGTTCTCTCAGCCTTACGGTGAGGCAGGAGTCCTGCCCCTAGAGTCAGTTCACAGCTGACAGCTGTGCAATGCTCCTCAGTATCAGGGAGGGGCCTAGGTGCTGGCTGCAGAGAATGGAGACCATTGTCCCAATGGTTGTCACACTGTGCTTGCTACTTAAAACACACCCACATACACACACACTCGAGCCCATCGTAAACGCGTATCAGCTCACGCAGATGCCAGCCGAGGAAGCACGTGTCCCTGGTACTTCCTCTAACGGACAGCGAGGTCTGAGGCATGAGCCCGTGACATGCCCCATGGGCTTCTCTTCCTCATGGGGACTGCTGGCAAGTAACCCTTAGAAACAACACAGCCTTTCTCTGAAATAATTTCAACATGATTCTGTGTTTCATGGCCTTCTTAGCCATAGGTGATCTTTAGTACTTTGTGCGTTTCCAAATTCTGAGTTTTCTTTCACCTGGCAAGGTTCTAGGGGAGTCCAGTTATGACCACAGAAGTGGAGGAAGCAGGGGGGATGGAGTTTGGGACCAGCAGAGCTGCTGAAAGGGGGACAGGGAATAGGGGCTACCTTTAACCCTTCCATCGCCAGGCTATGGGACTCAGGGCTATCATCTGTTGTAGTCTCTTTAAACTTCTTTTAAAACAGGGTGATTAAAGAAAATGACTTAGATATAAGTCACAAAGCCCTGGGAGAAGGGTAGGGCCTGAGAGCACAGTGCTGAGGAGGCCGGGAGCATCCCTTTCCTCCTCCTGATATCCCTTTTCACTAAGAAAGTGAGGTTTTCCTGTGAAACGGAGGCAAACACACGGTCAGCAAAGCGCTCCTCACAGAACCGGCCAACGACCACCAATACGCGGCATTTCAACCCCAACGCATCCACCGGTAAAACGCTTCGGTTAATTTTTGTTCAGGGCTGCAGAATTTTATGGCCACTAATTATATCTGCAACCTCACACCGAGAGGGACATAAAAATAGCCCTTTGTCCTTTCACTGACGGAGCCTTTTCAAATATTAACCTAGCAATCTCCTCCGCACCCCTGGGGTGGTGGGTAGCAGCTCAGTGTCAGCACCCGGGCTTCACAGGCATCGTGGGAGCATGAGAGGCCGTGCAGCGGCTTCCCCACGGCCAGGGCTACACCCTGACACGCCGAACAGGTGGTGGAGCCTGGGCTCCTTCAATTCCCATTTCCCTCTTGAAAAGACGTGCCCTAAGTTCGGAGACTGGTGTCAAAGGCCCCGGGTCCCAGAAAGAAGATGGACTTAAGAGTAGACACCCAGCAAACCTTTCCCGTTCTTTTTTTTTTTTTTAATCTTCACCCTAGGATACTTTTTTCATTGATTTTTAGAGAGAGTGGAAGGGAGGGAAGGAGAGAGAGGGAGAAAGAGAGAGAGAAATATCTATGTGAGAGGGACACATCGACTGGTTGCCTTCTGCACGCACCCCAACGGGGGCTGGGGATCCCACCTGCAGCCCAGGTATGTGCCCTTGACAGGGAATCGAACCTGCAACCCTTTGGTCTGCAGGCTGACGCTCTAACCACTGAGGTCACCGGCCAGGGCCATTTCCTGTTCTTGAAGATGTCTTGCCCGTGGGCCTGTTATGTGACTGACATAAATACAGAATTTTAGTTATAGGTAAAAGCCTCTGGATGAGAACAGGAAAAGCACAGGGGTGGGTGGCACATGCTCACAGCAGAGAACAGTGGAGTGGTGAGAAGACTCCCCCCATCGTGACACCAGATTTGGGCTTAACTCATGCCCTTGACTCTCACTATCTCACCTTGAGTAAAAGCATTTGATGACTGTGGAAGGTAACTCCTATAAAATACCCAGCCCAGCGAGCCCTCAGCAGAGGCCATTTGTATCCTCACAGGAGGAACCTCCGGGGTTTGTTGGGTTGGAAAAGGGACAATGTTTTGGTTCCCAAGAAGAAACAATCCTTTGCCAGTCCCGTCCCGCGACGGGGCTCGAAAGCACATACAGACAAAGCCAGGCGTGATGCCCATTAAAAATTTAACCATATATCATATTCATTTATTATCAGTCCACAGGATAATTTGATTGCTACATGAGCTCATAAAAGCTTTTTCACCTTTACAAAATTAAAAAACAATGTGCCACAAGGATGTAATAACAACTGCTGATAAACAAGAAAAGGAATCTTAAAATTATAAATTTGCTGTAGAAAAGATAAAAAACAATTTCATTTCATTTAGAATTTTACCTTGAATAAAATACTCCCCTGTATAAAAAATAAAAAAGCTTGCTCTGGTTAGAATTAGAGTATTTTTTTTTTTTTTGTCTT